CTCCAGAGCTCCCGAGCTGCTCAGGGCACAAATGGCTTCTCCGGCCTCCGGCTCCGGGCTCTGCTCACGCCGCAAGCTGGTGGTGGTTTTGCTTGAAATGTAGCTGGGGTGCATGGAGCGGTGCTGGGGCTGCCCCTGACCCCCCTGCAAAGGCAGGGTCACCCCCCAGGTCCTGCCCCAAAACCCAGCTGCCCCTTGATGTGCTCCTGAGGGTGTGCGTGGCCGTGGGTCCCCGCCGTCTGCCACGTCCACCCGTGCCGGGCTGTGCTCTGGCTCCCTCCGGCTCCTCACCCGCACGAAGAAAGGAGACACAGACGAAAGGAGAAACCCCAGCAGCGCGCGCGGCCGGAGCCCGAAGCACGGCCCTGTTGGGGTGTCCCTCGGAGATCCGCCTGGGCTTGCCGAGACCTGGCAGGACAGGGCTGGAGGAGCTGGGTGAAATGATGTTCGTGGGGTAGGCAGGAGGATGCTGTCCTGCCCCCCGGCCCCCTGCCCTAGCGGGGTCTGTGCCGGCTGCGCCTTCGTCCCGATGAGGATGGTGATGGTGAGAGCAGAGCATCCTTTCAGGCTGGCTCTGGAGCACTGCTTCAGCTCTGGACCAGTGTCTGGTGCCATCTAATGCCCTTGGCTCATCCGAGGGGCACCCAGGGCCAGACTCTGCCCAGGGCAGCAGGGACGCATCCAGAGCAGCCCTGAGCACGGCTTTGCCTTTGATGGCTCTGGGCACACGGCAAAATCCATCTGAACAGTGGCACCGAGGAAGCATCGTCCTCCCCACGGGCTCCTGAGCGAGCACCTGGGCGGGTGGGTGCTGCACCGGGACCTCCGGATGCTGGAGGGAGATGGGTGCTTGGGCACCCCTCCAGACCGAGGAGCAGCTCTGTCACTCCCTTTTGCTGTGCAAGAAAAATGCCTTCTATTTTTCTAGCATTTATCTGCCAGTGGTACTCCAGGCACTGCCCCAAAACAAACAGCGCCAGACAATGAAACGCAGATGAATCGGGTGCGGATTCATGCAATATTAAAACCAGACAACAATTAAAGTAAACAGAAAACACCAGGAAGCATAAATCAACCCCATGCAGGAGGCAGGAGGATGCGGGCAGCAGCACCGGGCGAAGGGGCAGGCAATGGCAGCTATCGGAGAGCATGCGACTTTGTCATCTCTCATTAACTTTTTCCGCTGGTAGTGATTTTTTTGCAATAAGCAGAACAATACATTGCTGGCATGAGAAATAATGTTCAGCATCTTCTTGTCTTATAAAGGAAAAATCCAGCAATCCCATCCCAATGATAGCGGTGGTTTGCAGATTCTAGCAAGGTTTTCAAGCAGAAAAAAAAAAAACAAACACAACTGAGTTGCACATAGAAAATGCATGCCTAATTTGTCCAAGTAATTACTGAGCCCGGCTTGATGATACAGATACCTCCAGCTCTGAAACACTGCTGATTGCATCTCTGATTCAGGAAACGATCCCCATTCCCCCAACACTG